TCGCTTTCTGTCTCTCTGTCTCTTTGTCTCTCTCTGTCTGTCTGGCGAGCGCATGCGCCCTATAGCAAAAACCTCTCCAAATAAATAAATAAATAAATAAAAAAGACGTAGAATTCAGAATCTGGCATAATTCGAATGGGAATAGAATTAAAGTTGACTCTGAGTCTTCGTCAGTCTTTCTATTTTTCTTCTCTTTGTTTTCTTTTTAGATTTTTGCTATAGTGTGTGTGTGCGCGCACTCACTGGAGAGAGACAGAGACAGAGAGAAAGAGAGACAGTAAGAAATCACCCTCCTGAGGGTGGCTACTCTGCAATCCCTTCTTCTCCATTCTCTTCCTGGGATTTTGGGCATGCACACACATGTGCCTGATACGTTTTTCAAGCTACCAGGTCTGGGCCTCAAACCACAGAGTTGGCTGTGTGAGATCCAACTCCTTGGCCTCCCCACCACCTGTTGGCCTGACAGATTTTCTCTACAGAGCGAGATAGCACTGTAGGTTTTGTGGTGCTTTGTTGCAGTTACTCAACTCTGCCACTGCGTGGCAGAAGCAGCCATAGGTAACATGTAGACAAGTGAGTTTGGCTGTGATTCAAAGGAACTGCATATATGAACGCTGACATCTGGATTTCACGTATGCCCCATTTGTCACAAAACACCCCCCAATCATTTAAAAATATAAAAGCCATGCTATGGGCTGTGCATTCTGGGGGCAGGCTGGCCTGGGGGCCATAGCTTGTCAACCCCTGGTCTGCATCAGAGGAAAGCCAGGTTGTGAACAGGTCAGCCGGCTAGAACTAAACTAATCCGTGCTAGGAAGAGAGGCTAACCTCCTAGCTGGGAGAGTGCGATGTGGCTAAACCATTTTCAAATGCTAATTCTTAAACAGCTCTTTGCTCTTCATTAACCTAGTTTGAGTCGTCAAATCTTCAAGAACATTCTCAGTATTTAACAGTACTTCTTTCTAGTTCGCTAGAGGGCATGCATGCTCAGCAGTGGGAGGGAGAAGGAGAGCGAGCCTACCCACATCCAAGCTCCCTGCACCTGCCCTTCCCCTTGGGACATGACCATGCCGTGATCCTACTCCCCCATTACTCCATTCAGGGTGGCTCTTGGGCACACGCACTCACACGGCACATGTTTTCCGAGCTGCAGGGTCTGGGGCGTAAAGTATGTAGTCAGCCATGTGGGATCCAGCCACTTGAACCACGCCCCCACTAGCCCAGCCAAATATTTAACTTTTTACTAATTCCGTGGAAGAATGAGCTACTAGTGGAATGCACTATTAGGTTGATGTGACTATTAAATGAAGGAACCCTTTATTAACACAGCACCGTCTTCACCCAAATTTTAACTGATGTTTTACACAATGATAACAAGTCAGATTGCCCCTTCCCAGTTAACCTTTCCCGTGTGCACAAATCGTGATTTTTCTCTTTCCCAGAGCTCAGATCTACCACAAACAGAAAGAGAGAACAAGAGAGTTTAGCGGAGCCCTGGTGATTGAAGAAGCTCACCTGACCTTGGCCTGTGGGTGGAGTGAGTGAAGGACAGTGAAGGACAGTGAAGGGGCTGAGGAGGGTGATCGGGAGCTTTACACCGGTGCCAGATTGAGTCCAAACCCGGGAAAGTACAACAGCATTCTGTGGGTCACGGTGGGTTATTCTCTGTCAGAGGATCTTCTCATCTGGGGTTTGCACTGGGGGTGACACATACCCACCTGCCAGACTGCAGAAGAGAAAGTGAAAACCCTCGGGTAACCACCAGCATTGACAAACGGAGCCTGGGGCCCCAGTAGCTGCCTGCGGTACTTTGGCTCCTTCAGCATGTCCATTTGAATGGAGGCTTGCATCTGTTATGGTCTCTTGGCAGTACTCAACTGCTCCTCCCTGCTGGTATCTAAACAGAGCTCTGAACACCTCAACAAAGAGACCCTAGGTCCCCAGGGAAGTCCCTCACCTTCCTCAGCAAGCTGAGGGTACAGCACCATACCCATCTTTTTATAGCAAAGGACGAGGGCCCAGACAGGCCAGCCAGTCAAGCTTGCCCTGGAAGCCAAATACAAAAAGACCCAACAAGATGTTTGGGTCAAAATCCTGATTCCCACTGGGGCAGTAAGCTGATCCGGCAGTCCATCCTAGTAAGGGTGCGCCTGGCATTATGGCTCACACTGGGCATGCGCAGTTAGGTGATCCAAGTCCTCAAATTCTTCACCGTGAGAAAGACCTACAAGTGCTGGAGAAAGCCCATGAATTCAGACAAAGAACGCAGATGCTATGGCAGACCTCCCGCGGCTAAATGTTCATTATCACTTCTAGTAATAAAAACAACGCCTAATCAGTTCCAAACGCTGTTGCTACCTAGCAACCTGTCGGCCTTTTGGATTTATTTCTTTCTAAAATCCGTCTTTTGTATTAAACTTTCTTTTCTAATTACGTTTATTGTGGTTATAGCTTTATTTTGTGTATAGGGACAGGTCTCTGATTTATTACGTTTATTGTGGTTATAGCTTTATTTTTATTGTGGTTATAGCTTTATTTTGTGTATAGGGACAGGTCTCTGATTTATTACGTTTATTGTGGTTATAGCTTTATTTTTATTGTGGTTATAGCTTTATTTTGTGTATAGGGACAGGTCTCTGATTTTAGAGGCCTTGATCCCCAGAATCAAGGACTTCACAACAGCTCAGCACTCTCCCAGTCAATGACATTTGGGGCCCTGACTCGGATCACACTCTGAGGCGCTTTCCGGACCGAGTTCTCCCTGCTGCAACCACCGAGTCTCCCACTGCACACAGAGGAGGTCCGTGAGCACACAGCACGCTGCGAGCACACACCACCCTGCGCTTCGCTGGGCTCTCTGCTGTCATTGGCTCTGACTCCACTACCTTCTTTTCTGGGGCTTGGATTTCTGGAGCCCTGGGTTCACCATCTCCTTCCCTGCCCTGTTTTTCCAAACCTATAAACTTTTAGGTACAGAGTTTACTAATCTAAAAGTTTCGCGTTTTTTCTCCTTATCACTAATACATTTCTTACAGATGGCATTTTTGCCTCGTGTGGTACTTTTCCATGCTGGTGAGTTTAAGAGGTTTGACCTGTCAGGTCTCACACAAAATGGGAAATGAGTCTGGGAAGGGGTTTTAACTTCTTCTTTTAGACTTCCCAGGAATGATTGGGGACGCTCTCAGAGGAACTCTTGAAAATGGTCCCAGGCCGGGACCAGCAGTTAGCGTAATGGCTATGTTGCTGGACTCCCATGCAGTCGACCGTGGTTCACGTCCTGGACCCGGTGGCTTAAAACTCATGCTGGGCACGTGTGTGTGTGTGTGTGTGCCCAAGATCCCAAGAGGAGAATGGAGGAGAAGGGATTGAGGCGTGGCCATCCCCCCTAGGGGGTGATTTCTTGCTTTCTGTCTCTCTGTCTCTCTCTGTCTGGTGAGCCCACACACCTTATAGCAAAAACCTCTCCAAAAAAAATAATGGTCCCAGGCCTTTGGGATGGATATTTGGGACAGGTTCACAGGCCCTTGGCTAGGCGCACTCACTCCGGGGCACGAGGGGGAGCGGTCTGCCTCCGTTCCCTCCTCTCCAGTCAGCTAGCACAACCCTGGAGGTTTGTTACCTGGACTGGCTCTGCAGGGATGCCTCCAGCCGTCCTAGGCTTGCCTCTACATTCTGTTTCTTTTTCTTTCTTCCCTCCTTCTAGATGAGAAATCTGTCTTAGATTCTAAAGAGACTCCCCCACTATGGCGCATCCTCTCACTGGGACCAGTTGGACCCTCAACCTCCCAAGCGGAGGCGGCTCATCCTCTTTTATAATACTGCATGGCCACAGTACGGGATGCCGGAGGGATCATTTGGTCAGTAAATGGGGTCCTAGATTATCATTCCATTTTCCAGTTAGATAAATGGTGTAGGAACCAGGGGAAGTGGACTGAGGTGCCGTATGTCCAGGCTTTTAGGCTCCTAGGTCTGACCCAAAGCTTTGTCTGGCTGTTTATCACCATCCCTTCCAAACATCCAAACTGTTCCTCCTGCACCTCTCCCAGAG